TAATAAAACAGTAAAATAAAATAATGATGTAAGTGATTGAAAAATTTTTCTGTAAATCTGCGTAACATAATATGTATATCTTCAATGCAATATTCTATGTGGCTACTACTTGCATAACATTCCTAACGCAGAGCATGCTCAACAAAATAATATGATTGCTAATTCAAATTAATTCTCGGTTCAACGAGATGATAAAAGCATTTCCACATGTCACACGCAACGGCAAAACCGACACTGATGCATTCAAGGTTCATGTATCGTTCCAACGTATAATGTATATAAGCGTATTTTGCCAGTCATATATGTGTCGCCAACGTACACATTTCGCGTCCCAATAAAGTGTCGTGTGCATTTTATAAACGCATACACAAATGTAGACACAAAGAACACGCAGGCTAAGAAGTCTGTAATGTTACTTTCCTCTCTCACCTGCTCCATGACCTCGGGCGCCATCCAACAAGGCGTACCGACGAAGGTGTGTCGAACCTTTTGCCGGCTCAAGTCACGTCCGGTCGCGAGCCATGCGCTGACACCAAAATCGGCAATCTGCACTGTACCATCCTCGCCTAGTAGGATATTACCCGCTTTTATGTCCCTAACATTATTCTGCCGTTAAAATTTGTCTAGATACGTAGAGAAAATAAAAGAATTATATCTGTAGGATGTTTACTAAAAATCTTACAAAAAAAAATTCCTCTTGAAAATTCTCAAATTTTTCAGATATTTTTATTTAAAATTCCAGGTAAGATTAGAAAATTTTTTAATGCAACTTTGAAATAAACTGCAATATAAGCAAGGCAAAAAAACAAACTATACAAACTATACATAAATTAATAGAAGACGAGGATTCTTTACAAGACTATATAAACAAAAAAAAGAGATCAAAGAAATAATATTTTACATGAAAAAACACAATTTTTAAGTAAAAAATTTCCCTTAATATTGATAAATCCTTAAAAATTCTTGATTTTCATAGAAAAGAAATTCCCTGAAAATTCCAGGTTTTTAGGTTTCTCGAAGTATAATAAATACTCTGTATACATTTGTATTTTTTAAATAATACAATTGCACTCTAATGATTAAACAATGTAAATTGAAAAAAAGAAAACAGTTCTAAGATTGTAAATAAAAATGACACGGGAGCATATTTCATAATACCTGTGTATCTGTCCGTTGCTGTGGAAATATTCAAGTCCCTTGAGTACTTCTCGAAGTACTGTAGCTATAGTGGCCTCATCGAATACTCCATGCTTACAATTAGTGGTTCTGGTTTTATGCTTGATGATATCCAGCAGAGACCCACCTTCTAGCAATCTTAAGACCAACCAGAGTTCCTCTTTCACCACAAACGATGTGTAGTATGTCACGACGTTTTCGTGGTTGCAAGAAGACATCGCCTGTATCTCTTTCTAATATTTCGCCATAACAAGTTTTAATTAACAATAACTTCTTATATAACAATAATAATAATAATAATAATAATAATAATAATAATAACAACAACAACAACAACAACAATTATTTGTATGTACGTTAACCTTACATTTACAATCTAGATCTTTTTTGATTTAATTCATAAGTGAATTCACTGTAAAATTTTTCCAAAGAGACTTAAAAAAAGAATCCAAATCTCTTATTGCTACATTATATTTTAAAATTTTTATTCTTCCACATTTTGAAATTTTAATTTTTATTAAATTAAGGTTTTAATGTTTGAGTTAAAAAATCAAGATGGAGAAAATAAAACTTGATTGCAGATAGAGTCAAGTAAAATAAAATTTATCAGTTTAACTTTATTCGTGAAAAAGGATTTATTCAAAGATAAATTTATCTCGAGATTACATTTTTGGAATAACATTTCGTTGAGATACGAATGATTAGCAGCACCATTGTGCTCAATATGAAAAGCTTACATCATGCTGGATGCATACATTGTAATCAATAAGCTCGTTAATCCAATGAATCATACAATATATAAATCTTATCAAAAGAGTTGCGGGTGTGTATCATATTGAT